CAAGAAACATTCCCTGTAATTACGTCAGCCTACTGATAAGTATATTTTGTGCACTTTGTACATATAAACACACACACACACACGTTCATTATATTGTTTGCAAAGTGCTATAATCTGGTTTTTCACTTAATGTTTTGGCTTGAGTATTTTCCCAAATCTTACAAAATTTTGACTATTTTCCCACTTTTAAAAAATGTATTGGAAAATCTTTTAATACATATGATAGCATGTTGTCATCACTCAATCACTATTAGACAACTAGGGTATAAAAAAGGCAAGGTATCTTGGAGCTGAAATGTAGACAAATGTAAAGACTGGTATCGGTAGCACAGATTCTGCAACTAAGTCCTAGACTCCTACATGTTTGTGTGTGCTTGTGTGCATGCATGTCTGTGAGAGAGTGTGTGTGTGTGTAGGAAGGTGGTAGTGGGTAGGCTAATCAATTATGTGCAACCTTGACTCAGGTGCCTTTGTGTTGCCTCCTTAGGCTGGGATTTCATATGTTCTCACTACTAGGTGCTACCTACATTAGGAATGACGATAAAGTCTCAGTCATCTGTGTGCCATTTGCCATATAAAGACATATGCTCTGAGCATATCTACATGTTTTAAAATCTTTTTAACTGCCATATAACATATAGTCATTCCTTAAATAACTTAATCCACTTTGAAATGAGCTATAGGAGTATCTGTTTCCTTTCCTGTCCTGCTTTCTTTCATTCTGCTCTCTACTTTGGAAACAACCATGTTGGGCATTTCTGTAGCTTATTAACTATATTTTCAGCAGTGGAAAAACACGTAAGTGCCGGGAAAATTTCTTTTTTTAATATTTCAGCATAGAGTATTGCTACTTATATTAAGAGTTTGGAAGAAAAATGGTACCAAGAATAAATTATTATACTCTGTATGAGTGAGATATATCTAGGAAGGAAGCAGATGATGAAAGTGATTTCTTCAAAAGAGTGAAAAATGATAAATGTACACATGGTGGCGGGGGCGTTTGCCTGAGCTTCAGCCTGTTATTCTTCATCATTAAGGTTTAGACATGTCTGCAACTTTTCATCACACAGGTATTAAGGTATCATCACACAATGTATTCAAATAGAGCCCAGAGTTTTTCTTGAGGATGAGGAGATGTGGTTAAAGGTGAATCCACTGTTGGAATTCAAATAAAGCTGGGCATGTGTGTCGATCTTATGTGGTGGCTCAGTAGAAGTCTAATAGGGTTAGGCTGTGGCACTAATTATCTTTCTGCGAAGAACCCACCCCAATGGAAGAGAGAGCCAGTGGAGATAATCTTGCTTAAATACGTTTCCTAGGCACTGGTGAAGAGTAGGAAGTCAGCCTATGGCCTGTATAGTGAAACGTGGCTAGGTCCTGGAGGAAGAAAGGGCTAGAAGCAAAAACAGAACTTTTGTGTTAAACTGTGTAACTCACTGAGAGTCAAGAAATACTTCCTTAGGACCCCTCTTTAAACACAGAAGAAACCAATTCTCCTTACTCTATTGCAGGCTGCTGGACAGTCTGGATATCTTCAAAGCAGCCACCAGGAGATAATGACCAGGCTGGATCCAGCAGGAAGAAAGACAGGGTCATTAGGTAGAACAGAGCACACATGCAGTGCCTAATGGATGCTGCAAAAGGCAGCAGGGCTGCTGAAGCTGCAGGGGCAGTGGCAGGCAGTGGGAGAGGGTGTCCTTCCTGGTGGAGCCTCAAGTAAAGTAAATGCACGTGCTGAGAAAATTGCTTCTGAGTACACATGCGATATCACCTGGGAACGCCTAGCAGGACTTGGAGAGGGGCACATTTACAGTCATGGACTTCCTGCATGAGCAAGTAGGGGATAAATCCAGGTTAATTGGGTTACGGGGATAAAGATTTAGTAAGCCTTTTGATTTACACGTCACATATATATGCTATTTTAGTGCAGAAAGACTTAAATTTTAAATACGTTTTAGAAGCAGTGAAGTTCAAAGGCCTCCTTTGGGGTCAATTAAGACCTGCATATATGTACCTTCAAAAGTTTAAGGGAGTTGCTCCTCAACTGAGGGGCAAGTTAAGCAAATACATACCTAAATAGGAAGAAAAAATCAGCCTCTGAAAAGTCTTCTGTTTTCTGCTTTTAAACTTGTAGACTCATATTTGTACATTACATCAAGCTCCAAACATGTAGGAACATGCTGGTCACAATAAACTAGTGAATACTGCCCCAAATATATATCCCAACATGGTTTTTCCACTGTAGAGTGGTATACACACATCTCCTTCCCTCTGTATCTTCTTATTTCATTTACAAATGTTTTTATTAAGATCTACGTAATGGGCTACAATGGTAACCATACATGCAAAAGTTACAGCCAGAAACCCTATGGCTACTCCGTTCTTCTATTTGTGACACAATCTGTGTTATGGCACAACTAATGTGGCCGCTTAAATGTCCCAAGTCTGACAGTCAGTGAAAATTCATGATACAACATTAAGCCATTGCATCGAGTGTTTATGTAAGTTCAATGAATACAGGAAGAATGCATCACATTCTCACCTATAATGTTTTCTATAAATGTATGAACCAGAATCAAATATATGAACACAGGCTAGACAAAAGCAGAGTGTTCTGTAACAATTCTTTGAGTAAAATGTGTTAATGCTTATTTTTATATAATTTATAGTTTGGTCCTATAGGAAATTATTGGAGGTTACAATGACATGCAAAGGTAAAAGGATTCAACATTACAAATGTTCATTTAATTGTACCAGAAACAAGGTGCTGAAAGTATGATTTAAATATATATACTTCAGATGAATAAAATACGGATTTTGGGCAGAAGGAGATTGAATTATTATTGAATTTGGATCTAGAGAAAATATTATATAAGGATTATATATACATATATGATTTACGCATAATATACTTTTATAAGTAATGACATATATATGTTCATACCCAAATATAGGAGGCGATTTGATGCTTATGAGTTCTTGAAACTGCTATTTAACCAGGAAGATAAATTATGAAGGGAATAATGAGGAAAAGCAAGAAAAGTAGCTATCCTCCACCGGATAATAGTTGGTAACTTTGCAATTTTAATGAAAATCTAGCAAATCAAGTATTGTATAACTGTTTTCTCCTCACCAAAAGAGGTAAGGAGGAAGCTCATTTTCTATTGTTGAAGTCTACAGATGAAAATTCCTCTGAAAGTAAAATCATCCCCAGTATATGTAATTAGTCTAGTTTTTGGTCATTAATAGTTCATTGAGGTTAATCTAGAAAATAGAATTGCCAGTGACAGAGGAGGAGGTAGAGAAGTTCATGAATCAGTAATCTATGGATTAAATATTTTTATATCTTTTAAATCATCTAAGTAAGTAAATTATCATCATGTTCCTTTAAGGAAATGGCAGAAAATTCAAGTCTACTCCCACTCAGCACACAAATAAACCATTCCATAATAATATTATCTTGACTGCAAAAAGAACGGTCTTTGTTTACATGTAAGCTGGAAAAATTTTAAATAATAATCTTGAGGGTGGAGAATATACAGCACTCTCTTAGGTCAAATTATGACCACAGTTATAACAGACAGTGCAAAAACCTTTGAAAGGGATAAGATAAGACAAAGAGAAATGACAGGAAAACAAAGTGGCCAGAGAAACGTTTGGCAGAAGCCCAGCATACTCCTGGCATCCTCTCCCTAGGCCTTTTGCCTGTCTGCAGAATTATCACTTATCTTCCACCAGCTTCTCTCTCTTTAAAGAAAGGCCAGTGTACTCCTTCCAATGCTTCATCAATACCTCACATGTCACAGAGTACAATGTAAATGGGCTACAAGCCCATATTTCATGGTTCTCCAAAGCAGCTTCTTCTCATAAGAACAAGGTTACACATTTGCAAGATTGATAAAACAGAGGACTGCATCTTCATTAGGCCTGTACTGTTAAATGAAAATATTTTCTTAGACACACTGGCACTTTTCCCTTCAAGCCAATAATGCTCTCCTTCTCAAACTGTGTGTTTGTTTGTTTTAAATAAAAGATAAGTAGATATTTACCTAGCATGATAGAGGAAATACACACCAACTGCTTGGTATAGTAGGCAAGTGGAAAGGGACAAGGATCCAGACGTTCTGAGTTACACGCTGCTGCCGCCACTAGCTTGCTTTGTTACTGGAGACAGTCATTAATCTTGATGAACCTCCATTTGTCTATCCATAAATTGAGAAAGTAGGAAATTTCTAAGGTTGCTTGTTAGTTATATGATCTGTGATCTAACCATATTGGTCAATTATAAAGTGTCATGCCGGAAATAACATTTTATGGGTCAATTAGAGTATGTGGTGACTGACTGGGGAAGTTATATATGATTTTAATAAACTCCTTTTTAAAAAGAAATGTAAGTTCTACAAATCAGCTAAACATGTTCCTAGACCCTTGATCTCACCTTCACCAAAAGGTATCTGATGAGGTCCTTATCATAATTATCAAACAATTTTATCTGAGCCTTCTTAGGCTAGTTTCTAATTTGGCACAAGAAGGTTCAATGTAGATCATCTCCCTTGATTCTTGGGTTTTAAGGATGGGAAATCGGAGGTCATGGCACAATTCAGCAGCAGGAATGTTAGTGCAGCCCAGGTTCTGTGGTTTGGGCCAGGCAGCTCTCCATTGCCAGTTTGAATGGGACACATATACCATTTTCAGGCCTTGAGAATTCCTGTGAGAATTTCAAGCAAGTTTTTGTTTCAACAGCTCACATGTGCAAGGGCCACCAAGAGTTTAGTAATGTAAATAGATAACATATCATCATTTAGCCAAGGAATCACATTATGAGCATATTCAAACCACATTCAAGGGGACACCAAATTTCCTTGAAACATCTGTAGATAAAGGAAGAAAAATCATGGTGGATGTGCAGCCAGCCTCCAACATGGGCTCCAATGATTCCTGCCTCTTGGCATTCAAGTCCTTAAGCAGTTCCCGCCTACATTGTATCATAATTGGTCTTTGTGACCAAGAGAATACAGCAGAAGTGATGGCATGTCACTTCTGAAGCTAGGTCATAAAAGGTACTGGGGCTTTGTGATATAATAAGAAAGACATTCTATCTTTGTCCACAGTGCCTGGCACGGAACTCCTAAAGCCCTGGGAACCCCTGTTCCCTCAAACCCCTGGACCACCACACAGAGAACTATCTCCAGGCCTGGACTTCCCCTGACTTGGGGACAGCTTTATACTCAGATTTCTCTCTGTTTTCAACTGGACTATCTTCTGTACAACCAAGAGAGCCCCATTCAAGTGTTTTGAGGACTGGTCTCCAAGGGGGAAGGGGAGGAGGGATGCCATTTAGGGTTATAGATTCCCCAACTCTGCCAGCTCTAACTTGGCCCTGAGTCGCTACTATGTAAATTAAATCTACCCTGCACCACCCCTCTCTATAAAAAAAAGTAGTAGGGTGATAGGAGCATATGTGCTCTAATGAGGTAACTCTTAGCAGGCCTCTAGATAGCTTCAGGATGGAGGCAGGTCATCAGGAAGACCAAGCCTTGATTAGAAGCTTGAAACTTTCAGCCCCAACCCCCAACCTCCAGGGAGGGAAAAGGGATTAGAAATTGAGTTACTCATGAATGGTCAGTGATGTAATTAATTGCGCTTATTTAATAAAACCTCCATAAAAGCCCCTAAACAATGGCAGTTTGGAAGAGCTTCCGGGTTGGTAAACACGTGGAGCTGCACATGGAGAGTGCATAGAAGCCCCCAACCCCCATACCTTCTGTGAATCTCTTCCATTTGGCTGTTCCTGAATTGTATCCTTTATAATAAACCTATAATAGCAAGTAGAGTGCTTTCCTGAGTTCTGTGAGTAATTCTAGCAAATTACTGATCCTGGGCTGCCTGGTGGGGATCGGGGATGTGGTCAGGGAAATGTCTGAGTCAGGGAGGTGTTGTTCCCTGAAAGGTAGCCTAGACATTCCATTGGCAGTTGGCATCTGAAGTAGGAGCAGTCTTATGGGATTAAGCCCTTGACCCAGGGTGTCTGCACTAACTCTGGGAATTGGTATCAGAATTGAATAGAATTGTTGGACACCCAGTTGGTGTCTGAGCTGGCTGGTGTGAGTAAAAGCCTTTTGGATTTATTGCTTGTTCTCTTTTTCTATCTGATCCTTTCTCTCTGTCTCAGATCACTCATTGTGGAAGAAATCTGATGCCACGTCTTGAGGACACTCAAGTGGCCTATGGAGAGGCGAACATGTAAGGAATTGAACCTCCTAGTAATAGTTAATGAGAAGCAGAGGGCTCTGCCAACAGCCATGTTAATGAGCCCTTGGGGAAGTGGACCCTGCACTCCCAGCCCTGCATTCAGATGGCTGAGGTACCAACATCTTAGATTTGCCTCCTGAGAGACCTTGCACAAAACCGCTCTCAGATTCCTGACCCTCAGAAAGTATGTGAGACAGCACATGCTTGTTTTAAGCTGTAAAATTTCAGGGATATTGGTTACACAGCAGTAGATAACTATTACAGTGAGGCCAGGCGCAGTGGCTCATGCCTGTAATCCCAGCACTTTGGGAGGCTGAGGCAGACAGATCGCGAGGTCAGCAGATCGAGACCATCCTGGCTAACACAGTGAAACCTTGTCTCTACTAAAAATACAAACAAACAAACAAACAAAAAATTAGCCAGGCATGGTGGTGGTGGGCACCTGTAGTCCCAGCTACTCGGGAGGCTGAGGCAGGAGAATGGCATGAATCCGGGTGGCGGAGCTTGCAGTGAGCTGAGATCGCACCACTGCACTCCAGCAAACTATTACAGTGAATAATTCCTTATAGCCACTCCATTTTAAAGGCCTTGTCATAAAATCCACCAAGGATGGATCCTAGAGTTTTAAAAGAGAAAGAATCTAACAAATTACGCTCTGAATTTCAAACATAACAAATATTGTAACTATAGCATATATTGTATGTTAATGAAAATTCTGAATACTTAAAATAGTTAATTCAATCTCATAAGGTTTCAAGTTTCAAGATGTCTCCTGGACTATTTCTTCCACAATTTTAATTGAAGCTATTAGCATATCCCTGTTTAGTTTTCTTTAAATAAGTAGCGGAAGGATACCCACTTCTACCCCTAAGAAAAGAAATAGCTCAAGACTTTCCTGGCTCTATTTTTCTCTTAAGTTTATCTGACCGGATATATTCTAGAATCTTTTTAGGAATTGCATCCTGTAATAATAACAATTATGTGTTAAGGACTTTCTTTAAGTAAAGTTTTAGTCCACAAACTTGGATGTGCAAGGAATGTGTCTTTTCTTTATTTTTTAAAGTCAAATTAATTTGGTTTTTGATCTCTATCCTATCAGAAAGATAAGAAACTCAATCTCAGGCACTATGAGACTGCCTCCTCTCCATCTCCCAGGGTCAGGCCATGGTCTTAGTCATTGCCAAGAGCATCACAGTGGGCCTCTGCCTCTGGTTCCTCTTTCTATGCTCATTATCTGATGCTGCAGCCTGACTTCTTCAAGACTAAGTTGGGCTGTATGCTTGCAATCGTGGGAGGAAAACAAAAGAGGGTATAAACACAATACAATGCCTCGACAAATCACTCTATCTCAGGGGGTCAGAAAATAAATTAAATGTTAGGAAAAACAGAAAAGAAGTAAGCAACATAGTGCCAGCCTTTAGGTTCTTAGACGCTCAAAAGGAAACAGAAAGAACAGAAACAACATACCAGGAAATAAAAGAGGGCATTTTAAGAAGTACCATTTAAATTGTAAGAGCTGCAGGAGTCAACAAAAGGAAGTAATTGGGGTGAGAGGGAGGGGACTTAATAATAATAATAATTATATATATTCCCTGAAATTTGTAAGGAATTTATAAAGTACAAGGGACTTTTTGCACATTCATAACTTCACCTTAGACACTCACAATGAAATTAAGTAAAATGGGGTTGGCAGGACAGATGGTAACATCTTCATATTACAGATGAGGAACTCGGACTCAGCTAGCTTTGGTGACTTGTTGAGAAAGTCAGAACCAGTTAGTCGTGGAATATAAAATTGAGCTCGGCTCTCTTCCTACCTAGTCTTTTCTCCACTCCACTCCCACACTTCAGTGACATTTGCTTTCCTGAAGGAGGTAAGTTCTAAAGCAGGATTGGAAGTTCCTATAGGGACAAAGAGAAAAGGCAACCACGAGTGGCAAGGAGTGTGTGAAGAATGAAAAACACATAAGAAGAAATGGAGACAGGCAGAAGGTCCCAGCTACAGGACAGAAAAGCCAGGGTGTGGGCTTCTGAGAGATGATGCTGAGTGGTGAGTGGTGACTAAGGGAGCCATTGACATCAGATTGTAAATTCTCCCCTCCTACCCCCTGATGAAGAAGTTTATCTCCTATATCTCTTTATATATGAAAAACCATAAAGAAAACACCAGTATCTTCACATAGTGTATCATGTAATGAAAGCATATGCCATCTCACTTGGGCCCTTTATCAGTCTTAGTCACAGTGCCCAGTAGCGTTCCCACTTCTCATTCTCTGAGTTCTGTTATCCAAAGCTTATCCTCTTGCCTGGACTATAGAGACAGAGATGAAATCTTTGAGAAGTGCATCCTATCCACTTGTCATTATACCTCTGTAATTCTTAGTGATGTTCCACGTTACCTCCCACACTGACCCTGTGCAAACCAGTGCAAGAGTTTCAGGGGTAAGGGACTGTTATTTGAGCCAACTTCCTCCATCCTGTAAAGGCAGGGCTGGAGCTCAGGAGATGGTGTTTTGCATCGTTACAACTGGAACAAGATGAAAGGTCTCTGAAGGAATAATGAGATCCAGGCTTGATTCAGGACGAGAGGCCAGATGGGAACAGTAGAGCATTAGGATGTTATGATGCTGGGGTAACCTTTCCATAATGATGTTGTGTGGCCTGAAGTTTGATGCTGAGAATCTACAGTGATTTCTGGCTTAGAAATAAGAAATTGACCAGTAAATGAAAAAAAAAAAAAAAAAAACAAAGCCTATCTATATCCAATCTCTCCCCACCAATCCCCTCTCCCAACATTGTTATCTATTTGTATACGCAACAGTATTTTAGCAAATGAAAATTCTCAAAATTCTAATCACATCCTTATCCCAAAGCCTGGATTTAATCAGAAAGCTTTATGGTGCTTCTGACTCAGTAGAGTTAGTTATCCTGTTTAATTGGATTGACGGTGACAATTGTAATTACCTTAGATGAGATTGCCTGTAATGTAATTATACTTCCTTCATCAGCATGAGCTGGACTTGTGGAATACATACAGATGATGCCTCCAATTACTCAGAGGTTAAGAAGAACATTATATTGCCTCACAAATCCTGTTTGTTACTGTATAGACTTGTAAAAATTATGGAAGAAACTGAAGGAATTACTCCTCTAAAGCAGGTTTGTGATCCAAATATGTTTCTGTTTCATAGAGTAAGATGACTACATTCCAGAACTATATTTTTGTTTAAATAAAAAATATATTTTAGGAACTCAGTATGGGGGTAGCAATAGTAAATCTGATATTTTATTATTATTTTGTTTCTGCTTATTATGTACAGTGACTGCATGTAAAAGACATTTTTAAAAAGCATACAATACATAATGAAGTTTAACTTGACTTTTTCCATGATCTGAAAACTTATAGTCTCTAGAATTAACATAGGAAATAACAGGAGATAACTTTAAAATACTAGTCTTTATGAGTAGATGGACCCATAATTAATATCTAGGAAGCCAGATGCTCTACTACAATGATAGTTTTCTCTATTTTCCAATTAACACATGGAGAACTTTAAAATTTTCAATTGGAAGCCCAGCCTCTCAACAGGACACGTCTGCCAAATGTATTGCAAACACATGTAGTTTAGGAGAAAAGGCACATACTACAAATCCACCCCAACCTTATTAGCTTTAGCATTGCTCTCATTAAAAATAGAGCTGCTTACAGGTTTTTCCTTCTGAAGCATATGAAACATAGAACTTGGAAATGTGCCCTTTTGAAAACTTATTCCTGTATTCACAAACCAGATGGTGCACATCAGATGCATTCTGATTTTCTAATGAAATAAAAAAGGATCTCTATTATGTTATTTAATATGATTAGCACATCTTCAATTGCTAATTTTTACAGATACTCCTGGAGAGTTAAACAACTTGGCGAATACTCTCCTGCTGGAGTTGGACAGGAAGGCCTCACCAAAGCTGAAAGGTTAGGGCTGTGCTGGGGGCACTTGGCTTTCTAATTCTTCCAAAATAGGCTTTGGAGAGGTGCAAGGCCTTGCCACAGCTGCTCACAAAGAAACCTTCTTCTGTCTTTGAACATCAGAGACAAAGAGTCTGCTGTATCATAAAAGGGCTGACTGGGCAAGAAAAAGATACACACATACACGCTGTCTCTCTCATTCTCTCTCTCTCAATGTCTGTTAAGTCCAGTACTTAGTCAAGCAATATTCATAGCATGCTCACATCACTAACATCACCAGTAAACTCTAATTCTGAGCACCATTTGAATGTCTCACTCATGACATACAGCAAAAACTTATCTAAAACCAATAACAATTTGCTGGATTTTGCCAACAAATTGGAGAATGGTATAATGTTGTTTACCTTGAAAAAGGTTGGCTTGTCTGGTCAAAAACCTGAAAAAAGAAAAGAAGAGAGAAATGGATTGATTTTTTCTATTACTTCTGACCTTTAAAACCACAATACTGAGTTAAACATAGTTGTGGTGTGCTTATTAATTTAGTAAATCAGATTGTCATTCTCTAATTTTATGTATCTCTTGCTTGAAGTAATAATGGCTTCAGCTAAGTTGGATTCTAACCTGAATCCAATTTCTCTATTGATTTCCACTATTAGTTAGGAATATGTTCAGCTGAGGAAAAGCATCCACCAGAAGACCAGAGTAAAACACCATGGTAGGCTAGACACTGTGCTTGTGAAACATCTGTTTTTTTTGTTGTTGTTGTTGCTGTTGTTGTTGTTAAACTTTTAAAACTGGAAGATCTCTGGTCAGCTATGTCTTATTTTATCTTCTTCTACAGATAAGAGAAACATTTCTTTGGGCTGAGACAGCTGTTTCATGAAATGCAACATCATATCTCATTTTTCTTCATGAACTTCTCTCATTTAACCATTAGGCTGGAACAACACATATTACCAATAGGTTCAGTCGTATAACACTCAGAACCTGGAAATAACAAGTTGGGAGTTTCAGATCCTACAAAATAAATCAGTTACTCCATCAATTCTATAATATAAGGCAAAGAATCTGAAAATTTAAGGAAGATACTTTGAACAACACTGTGCAAAAGCTATTGCTGAGTTAGGTATTCAGTTAAGCCAGACACCACGCCTGGTTCTCAGTTTGTTTTGCAAAAGCATTTATTCTACATTTTAAATATGCACATGTTCCAACTTGGGCTAGAAAGACTTAACTAAAAATAGAACCACTATCACCAAGTGATGCTATGGTTGACCAATACTCCAGGATTTGAAAAAAAAATTCCCCAAATGGTACAAATTCCCCAAATGCTACAAATTCCCTGGGAACTGGAAGCTCTTCCTCTCCTTAAGGTGAAAGTCTGCTTCTCCTCTTGGTGTTTCGCCACTAAAAAAAGAAAGTATTTAGCAAACAACTAGCAGATCCATCAAAAGGTTAGGATTCTTTTTATTTTAGTGCTCTTTCTTAATGGGCAAAAATTGATTGATTAGTTCACCTGGAATGTTCTTAGCCTTAGGGCAGAAAAAGAGCTTTGTATGCATTAGTGGACTGGATTTATAAAAGAAAAAAGTCCACATTCAAGAATACAGAGAACTTCAAAAATAGAAGAAAATAGAAAAAAGAAAAACAAGGTCTGGAAGCATATTAAAATTTTTGCATTCATTAAAAATCAAATGACTGTGTTTTTAGTTGTATTGAGTTATCCTATGTGTACTGGATCTTTGCCTTAGCTCCAAATGTACTCGTATTATCTCTAAATCCATTTGGATAGTTTATACAGTGAACCCTGGAATCACCTTTGTTTCTCCAAACTCCATCTACTTTTTGAGAAAAAAAAAAAAAAGCTTAAGGCAGATCTTTCCCCATTAGATCTCCAACCTCTCTGTTGCTCCCTTCCCCCACTTGTTGGTGAAACTACTTTCTGGAAGAGGCTTTTCTTAGGCGAAGTTTGTTTACCTTTCAGACAAGACAAGGGGTGAAACAGAGGAGCAGCGACCTCCTTGCCATTGGTTAGAATGAAGTGAGGGGAGCTACCAGAACGCAGAGGTATTAATCTCCTGTTACTCTGATGTTACCTCAGACCCTCGTCTACTATTTATTTGGCTATACTCCCAGCACAGTGATTTACATCTTGGAGGAAGTGGTATTTAAATGTGTGTGCATGAGATTCTGTTGGGGAGTTTGTTAACAACGCAGATTCCTGAGCTCTAGCCTGCTCTATGAAATCTGCGTCCCTAGAGGATTAGCACCCAGGAATGTTCATCGATAAGCTTTTCTAGCCAGTATGATTTGGTAGGTGGTCTCACGACCACATTTTTGGAAACAGACTTAGGATGACATGAAAAGTGACGTCAGGCTGTGCTAAGTGCCAAGCCTTGAGTGGAAAGGTGTTTTAAGCCGCTATCTTATCTCAGAATACATACTCAATAAATATTTAAATCTGAGAAAACCAGTATTTAATATATAAGTAAAATCTGTTTATTATTTGCTATTGTTTTTCTTTATCGTTTCCAAACAGATATCTGATCTGCCTTAAGCATTATTTGCCTTGGTGATCTGTCAATTACTGAAAAAGGGAGAAAGCTTAGGTGATATACACTCTAATTAATGTGGCCCTCATATACTGTTTAAGTAAGTAATAGAATCCTTACCACTTATAGCTGGAAAGACTTTTTAAAAATGTAGCCCAAGCTTTTTAATTTTTTCAGGTGCAGATGCTTTAATGCAGAGAGATGAACTAACGTAGGAATTATTTTGTACAGGGGGGTGATCTGAAATATTAATGGGCTATTTCAACCATCAGCTTGAATAATTCAAAGGTGTCTGCTTAATTTTTGTGCTTTCCCAGCTCATATGAAAACATCCACAAAGAGAACTATGTAAGTAAATACAATTAATCCTAATCAATCATGTACTGTCTTGGATTTCCCTAGAACCAAAACACTGAAATGGACACATGACATCCTGCTGGTCCTAATTTTCCACCAATTCATGAAACACTTCATGCTTTGCTTGGGACAGCACGAACCTTTCAACCTCCAATTATATTAATATTTTGAAGGCACTGAAGTGCCCAAATATGTGACATGAAGTCCTTGAGTGTGGAATGGCCTTTTCCAAAAGACATACAGTTTGCATAAATGGAAGTGAACACAATATTATCACCCCTTGAGATTTCCTGGTTTTGGAACAAAGAGGTGGTGATGCTGGATGCTTTACAGTATAATCTCCTTTTAGAGATTCTTAGTGCACAACATTATAAATTCAGAGTTCTTTTGAAATAAAGAAAAATGTTACCTTTATTTCATCCATCATTTTAAAAAGTTATTTACCCTAGGAAACACTGAACAGAGTGATCTTTTTTAAACTTAGTTTTTTAAATTTAATTTTATTTTTTGACACATTATAATTGCATAGAATTATGGGGGTACACAGTGATGTTATTTTATATATATTATATATATATATATATATATATATATATACACACACACACACACACACGAATGATGTGGAATGATTGAAACAAGCTAATTTCATATCCATCAACTTAAATAGTTATCATTTATTCCTGCTGTCTAACTGCAACTTTCTGCCCTTTGACCGACATCTTTCTCATTCCCCAAACTCCCCACCCCCAGCCTCCAGTAATCACTAATCTACTCTTTGCTTCTATGTATTTTATTATTTTAGACTCCATATATAAGTGAGAACATGTAATTGTTCTCCTTACGTTCTTGGTCTGTTTCACTTAACATAACGTCCTCTAGGTTCACTCATGTTGCCTCAAAAAACAGATTTTCTTCATTATTAAGGCTGTGTAGTATTCCATTGTGTATATATTTCCCTTTTTCTTTATCCATTCATCCCTGGGTTGATACTTAAGTTATTTCCACATCTTGGACACTGTAAATAATGCTGTAATGAACATGAGAGTGTAGCTATCTCTTCAAAATACTAATTTTAAGTCCTAGACTACCTACCCAGTAGTGGAATTGCTGGACCATATTGTTGTTTTGCTTTTAGTTTTTTGAGGAATCTCCACACAGTTTTCCATAACGGCTGTACTCATTTACATTTTCACCAGCAGTGTACAAAGATTTTCTTTTCTCCCATCCTTACCAATATTTGTTATCTTGCATCGTTTTTTTAATAATAGCCATTATGACAGGTGGGAAGTAATAATCTCATCATTTCCCTAATGATTACTGATGTTGAGCATTTTTTCATATATCTGTTGCCCATTTTTAAATTGAGTTATTTATTTTTTTGCTATTGAGTTTTTGAGTTCTTACATATTTTGGATATTAACCCCTTCTCAGAGGTATTGCTTGCAAATATTTTCTCTTAACCTGTAGGTTTTCTCTTCACTCTGTTGTTTTCTTGCTATGGAGAAGATTTTTAGTCTGATGTAATGCCTTTTGTCTATTTTTTGTTTTGTTTTCTTGAGCTTTTTGGGTCAAATTAAAAAAATAATTGCCCAAACCAATGTTGTGTAGTTTTCTTCTCCTACGTTTTCTTCTAGTTAGTTTTACAGTTTCAGAACTTACATTTGAGCCCTTAAACCATTTTGATTTTATTTTTGTATGTGGAGAGAGATATGGGTCTAATTTCATTCTTTTGCATGTGGATATCCAGTTTTCCCAACACTCTTTATTAAAGCCACTGTCCCTTACCGATTATGTTCTTGGCACTTTTGTTAAAAATTAATAGATCATTGATGTGTGAGTTCATTTCTGGGTTCACTATTCTGTTCTATTGGTTGTGTCTATTTTTATGCCAGTATAATGTTATTCTATGTACTATAGCTTTGTAATATAGTTTAAAGTCAAATAGTGTGATGCCTCCAGCTTTGTTTTTCCTGCTCAAGTTTGCTTTGGTTATTTGGTGTCTTTGCAATACCATATAAATTTTAAGATTTTATTTTCTATTTCTGTGAAAAAATGGCATTGCAATATTTATAGTAATTGCTTCAAATCTGTATACTGCTTTGAGTAGTATGCACATTTTGGCAATATTAATTTTTCCAAGACATGCAGACAGAATATATTTCCATGTATTTGTGTCTTCTCCAATTTCTTTTATCAATGTTTTATAGTTTTCATTGTAGAGATCTTTCTTCTCTTTGGTTAAATGTATTCCTAGGTATTTTAGTTTTTGTAGCTATTGTGAATAAAATTTTTAAATTTCTGTTGTGGATAATTTGTTGTTAGTGTATAGAAATACTACTGCTTTTTGTTTGTTGATTTTGTATCCTGCAACTTTACTGTATTTGTTTTTCAGTTCCAACAGTTTTTTTTTGATAGGGTGTTTAGGGTTTTCTATACATAAGATCATGTCAGCAAACAGCAACAATTTCACCACTTTCTTTCTTACTTAGATGCCTTTTATTTATTTCTCTTGCTCAATTACTCTGGCAAGGACCTCTAATATTATATTATATTGAATAGAAGTGGTTAAAGTGGGCATCTTTGTGTTGTTCCTGATCTTCAGAATTATATGCCCATAAATTGGATAACTAGAAGAAATGGGCACACCATAGACACATACAATTTACCAACACTGAATCAAGAAAACATTTAAAATCTAAAAATATGAATAATAAGGAGATGGAATCAATAATAAAATTTTCTCCCGTCAAAGAAAAGCCCAGGACTTGATGACTTCATGGGTGAATTCTAACAAACATTTAAAGAATAATACCAATTTTTCTCAAGTGTTCCCTAAAAATTAAAGAAAAAGGAGTACTTTGGAACTCTTTTCATGAGGCCAGCATTACTCTGATACCAAAGCCAGACAAGGACATTACAATAAAAGAAAATTACAGGCCAATATCCCTGATGAATATCGATTCAAAACATCCTCAACAACAAGAATACTAGTAAACTGAATTCAACAGCATATTAAAAGTATGATTCACCATGATCAAGTAGAATTTATCCTAGGGATGCAAGGATGGTTCAACATATGTGAATCTATAGATGTGAAATATCATATTAGCAAAATGAAGGACAAAAACCATATGCTCATCTCATCAGATGCAGAAAAAGCATTTGATGAAAAATTCAACTTGCTTTCATAATAAAAACTCTCAACAAACTAGGTATGGAAGGAATGTACCTCAATACAATAAAGGCCATATATAACAACCCTACAGCTGACATTAACCTCAATGGTGAAAAGTTGATTTTTAAAATAAATGTGATTTTTGTCTCTTTTTTACTGGACCATCATTTGATTCCTATTGGAAAAGCCCAAAACTCTGCAATGAAGATCACAGGGTCTTTCAACATCTGGAACCTATCTTTCTTCTCAATTAGCCCCTCACCTGGATATCTCCCAGATTCCAGCAAAACTGAACACTGTTTCCAGGATCCACCACACCACTTCAGCCTCCATGCCTTTACATGTACCATTACCCTTGCTTGGAATGCCTGTGTTCAAACTCCTCTACAAACAAATACACACATACCCTCAGACACCATTCTTCCAGCCTTTTCACCTGACAAATATCTGCTCCTCCTTCAAAATCTACTCCAAACACTATTTCTGTGGGGCCTTTCTCAATCTTCCCAAACTTGGTTACTTCCTTCCTTGTGCTCCCATTTTGGTTATTTCTAACTATTCTAGAATACTCTTCAAACTATAAATTATACTTTTCTGTGTAAAGGTCCACCTCCCTCATTAGAGTGGGAGCTTCTTGGAAGCGGGTACTGCCACTTACTTAATAAACATTCAATGCCTACTCTGTTCTGGGAAGTTCATATCCTGAAGTATAGGTCCTGGAACAGTGAGTGTATCTGATAGGTACCCAATAATGGCTGATTTAGCATAAATAACTGAATGTCTCCTGCAAATTCTCTCAGTGATATAATGATTGTCATGAACTACCTGCTCACAATTTACCTGCAGGTGTCCCTGAGAAACACACATGGAGGTGACTTAGTTGTTAGTAAGGTGATGGGTATGCTAATTTCAGAAATAAGAAATCATTTTCAGAATAACTACTAGCCTTTAAAGAGCAAAAAGAAAAGGACACAAAGGAAAAGGAGGAGGACAAGAAAACCAACCAAACCTGGGACCAGGGCAAAAGAAATGAACTTTCTCTTCTTAAAGCAAGAAATTTGTTTGTACCTAGGGAAGATGAGAATAATGAGTTCTATAATAGTGATTTCAGTTCTGTAGATAAACAAATATTATCTTTCATAGTGTTTAAGCCTTGATAGCATCTGCCCCTCTTGCTGCACAGGAGATGGGAATTATGTTGTCTATGCACTGATGAATTAAAACTACCTCAGGCATTGTCAACTGTGATGACACTTGATACGGTTTGGATCTGTGTCCCCACCCAAATTTCCTGTGAAATTATAATCCCCAGTGTTGGAGATGGGGGTCTGGCAGGAGGTGACTG